CCCCATTTTAAAGTGCACCTCCATCACATAAGGTCACTACAGTAAACATTTCAGCAATCAGTTATTCAGGAAAAATATGGAGTTAAGAACGCTAAAGTCGAGTGCACTCGAATCCAAGACTCCCTGTACCTCTCAGTAAATACAAAATTTTGTTTTATAGCATCACGCTTTGAATTCTTCAGATCATAAAATTACACCCAATATGAATTTCAAAATGTAACGTCACTTTATTGGAAATTTAATGTTGAATAACTTCTGTTTGTTGTCCGGGAATGGAATGAGCCGGGGAATGGGGGAGGCATCCGAATAATGAAATATTATTAATGTGTGTATTATTTGGTGTCTCTAGATCTATAGTTTTTAAGTTATGCTTAAAACACCAACTCTTGATTTCAATTGAGGTAGCGAGGAAAAAATTACAAACTTGTTTTGTTTTCGTATCATAAAGCAGAATATATATTTTAAATTTAAAGTTTCCAACTTTTGCAGATTTTGCAGACCAATGCGTTTATACAGACGGACAGGGCTTAATTGACCCAGTTCATCGTCCTGATCAAGACATGTCTCCCTCTGCATGTTATATATATTTGCACAACACCAATATACCCCGTTTTTTCCATTAAGTAAAGGGTTAATTTATAATTACTGTTCAGTACTTACGCTGATTTTTAGGTAAAACGCTCATCGCACGCTGCAGCGTAGGCTGCACACGGTCCGCCATGCCCAGCCAGAAGTAAGCATCGGCAGCCACACGCCAGACCTGCGGCTCCGTTCTAAACTTGCGCGTTATTAGATTTAAAGTGCTGACGAGACGTTCCCTAAGATTGTGTGATTTGAGCACTTCGACAAGGTTTAGGTAGGTTTCAAGCGGATCGTTATGGCTAAGTGCTTCCTTCAGCACATCATCAAAATTGGATGAATTGTAGCTTAGCTCCAGGTTGATTAGTGCAGTCCATATATTGCGCAGCTCTTTGGTCTCTCGGAACGCTATTGTTTTAATGGCGCGTCGTGCAATGTCTCGTGCTTTATCGAACTCTGTATTTGAGAGGAGGAAGGACATGTACTGGATCCAGGACTTGCTGCTGTTGGGCTCGGCTAGTACCAGACGTTCGAACTGATCAATTGTTTCTGGGCGTTGATTGGGATCTGCATTGCGCTCCTCGATCTCGCGCAAGCGCTGTTCCTCCTTAACTTCCGCCTTAGCCTTTTCCTTGGCACTAAGTCGTTTTTTCTTGCTAGTGTTCGCCTCGGCCTCGGCTGCTGCATTGTCGGCATCCTCGTCGCTGGATGTGTCCTCTGGCCGCTTGCCATTTATTGCGCCGAGGTCAGTCTCCCAGAAGCACGAGATGCCTGGCAGACGTAACTTGCTGTCAGTATTATTTGCTGCATTGCATTTAAGTGCATTTGCCTTTGCAGGGATTTTATCCTCGAAGAAAAGCTGTGCGCCCTTTTGCTTGCCATTATCGAGCGGCTTCATTTCAGCTATTTTGTCATTTTTTACTTTCTGTGCGTTTGATTTGGCTGTTGCTTTAGGTTCCATCTTGACTTTTTTGGACTTAACGGGAGTTTCTCCTTCAGCATCGACGGCGGCTGCACGCTTAACGCCCTTCCACAGCTTCCAGACGGTCTCTGGCACGGCAATTGGCAGCTTGTCGTGTATAAATGCAAGGTTACAGAAATCGCCCTGGCGCAGACAAGCACTGGCGGAGCTGTCAACATCATTGGGATGCAGGCGTACCGGACAAAATATCAACGGATTGCTGGCACCCTTTTTGAGTGAGCACACCACAATGCTGTCTAATTTAAGCAACACCTTGGCCTTCATGCCCGACTTGGCGATTAAATTTTGCGGAAGCTCTTTGCTGCTGCTGATGTGTTCAATATCCATCTTCTTATTGCTTATGAGCAGCATATCGTTGGCGTAGTCGATCCACAAAATAACGGCCTGTTGTTTGCTGCCCACCTGTGGCGCCGTCGCTGTGCCTGCCAAGCTGGCAATTATCAGTGCAGTTATATTCTTAGAGCCATCCAAGTGATACACCCAATTGTTGGTCGTCGGATCAATGCCCTTGAAAATGACATCAACTTTGTCGCCCATACTATGCTTGGCAATAGGCGCATTTAGCATTTTTAATTTTTTTCGAATCTGTGATACTTCGTCCAGATAGCTGTAAGGATTTAGTTTAGTCTAGGGATGTAAGCAATAGAACGGTATTATCCTCTTACCTCTCCATCCGTTTTGCTGTCTCAGTGAGCTGGCCACTCCACACATCTGAAAGCTTGGCGGACACAGTCAACGTTTTTGTCTCCGACTCCTTGCTGAGCACCTTGACGTACAGCAGCTGATCCGGCGCCAGCATGATGGGCACTTCGCGCGCTGTTTGTGGACAGAGCATCTTGACGTGCAACTTGACCAGTTTATTGTAATTACGTACGGGAAGCAGCAGCTCCAGCACCTGCTCGCTGGCATGCTTAACATGGGCGCGGAGTACATCGCCCACTTGCACTGTGTGCCAATCCTTGGTAATGTTCTCACTGAAATAGCACACATCGCGCAAGCTAAAAATGTTCTGCATGATGCAGGCGGCCTCGGTGTGTGTGCCGACAGGATGAGTGCGTTTTTGTGCATCCTGTAGATCCACATAGTCCGATAGAAAACGCAGTGGCATCAGACCGACAAACTCCTCGGAAGGCTCCTCGTCACCTGTCATTGATGCATCCTGTTCATCGTTAACATAGGTAATTTTAATTTCCAGACCAGCGTCCAATGCATTTGTGACTTCAATGGGACATATTTCGCCAAGCTGGAACTTTTCCTCGGGCAGTGTTAAGAGTACCTGATCATTATTGCGTCCAGCAATTCGAAACTTTGTAGTTTGACCGGCGAAAAAGGTGCTCTCAATTAGTTCGTTCAGGCGCTGTTTGTGCAGAACTCCCTTGATGCCGCTGCAGAACTTGACAAGTACATAGCTGGACTCACACTTGACCACGGTGCCAGTGAAGAGACTGCCAGGCTGAGCCGATTGCAGCGAGGTAAGCAGTTTGACGCCCTTGTTAAGATACTCGTTCCGATTGCTTAGATAGCATATTTTACGGTCAAGGCAAATGTCCAATACACGGCATCGCAGAAGTTGTCCCACCTCATACCGCATATTTGGCGCCAGATGCAGCTGCTCAATGATCCCGTTGACCTTCCCAATCTTAACACTGTAGCCGCCAATTTTTGACTCTGGCTTCACAATACGCGCTTGAACTATATCGCCCGCTTGAAGATCCTCCAGTGTGTACAACTTCTCGTTCAACACATTGGCATCGTCGGTGCAGTAGTAGAGTGATTCAATGACATCATATCCAAGCACACGCACCTTATGCTTGCTCTTGCTGCTGTACTTTGCCAACACCACGTCCTGGTCGTAGTTTCCCTTATGGTTCGACTTAATGGAGCCATACGAAATCAGACCCTTATGTTTGTGGTTGAGGAGCAATACGATACCGCCTGTGCCATGTCGCAGCACGCGTGCCTTCTCCACAATGCTGCCCTTCTTTAGCTGTTCCTGCTGCTCATCACCTTCCATTGCCGGCTTTTCAGTTGTCACGCTGATGTCCAAATTAAGGGTCAAATATACCAACTTGGTCAGGGGCATCACGTAGAGCACCCGCGCCAGGTACTCTTCGTTAAGTTCATAGTCTGGCGGCGTGTGAAGTGCCTCGGCCAAATGATGCTCATTTACGTAGCCTCTAAACGATTCGTTCATGATGCTCCCCTCCAGTCCATTTTTGAGATGTTTTATTAACTTAAACTTTACAATGCTACCAGGCAGTATGTAGTCGAGGTTGGTTTCGTTCTGGCTTTTAATTTTTAACTTGTCCTGATCTAAGCGCACACACTGGCAGGTACTCTTTGCGGAACTGTGCTGAATTTGCTTGACTTTTAGGAAGATCAACTGGCCGATGTGAAGCTGTTGTGCCGCGTCTGCGATGGGAACAAATGCCTGCAGCCCCTCAATGCCCGTTTCGATCACACAGCCGTGCTCCTGGATTTCCTCAATAGCGCCTGAGAAGATGAAGCCCTTCTTGATGCTGGCGTGGTGCAAGCTACTGTTCACTTCTGCCGGTTTAAGTGACAATAGCAGTGACATGCGATTCCTTTCCGGTATCTCTGTTTTTATGGCGCGCCCATAGACAATCTGTCCCACGCTGAACAGCACGGTCAGATCGTGATATTCACTGCCATCGCCGGTCATGTAGGATTGGGCCACGCGTGCATATGCATCGGATATATCGGCCACTAAAGCGCGAGCTGTCATCCGTCCGGGCAACGCTATTTGCAGTGAGGTGGCGTCCGCTGCTTTTACAACTCCCATCACCAGCATTCGGTCCCGAAGTGTGTCATATGTGAGCGTTTCTGCGGAGAATGCTTGCAGTTGATCACTGTGCTCACCATCTATTTGCTTTTCCTTTGGTTTTTGACCTTTCTTTATCTTTCGCTGTGAGGCACCAAAAACCTGCAAGCCGCAAAGCTCAGAATTTAGAACTAAGGTACCCCTTTTCTATTTGTACTTACGATATTTGATGCGCTGTTTTCGGCATTTGCTTGTAAATTTGCTATTCCGCCGCGCGGAAAACTTTTTTCATTTGAAACCATTGCAAATAGTATTAAAGCCCTAAAAATTTAAACAAGAAATACCGCAACGTGCCCTGTACACGTGCTGGACACTTTAAATACAAATGCTAAAGCAGTGCTGTACAACGCTCCATGGTTAAGTGCTGCTAAACTTAAAAGGCGCAACATGTGTATAAAACAGTATGATGATAAATATTTATTAAACACGATGGTAACACGATGGTGCATTACAAATTTAAAGAAGATTAAAAACTGCAAGAAAATAATTTTTATTAAATTATTTAAATTTTATTTGACAAGTACGCTATTGTTTATTTGGTATGCGGCATGTAGCGTCCACATTGGAATCGACACAGCTGCTTGAACGTGTATGTGTCCCTTTTATTCCGGCACGCATGTGAATTGTGTTAATTACATTTTGCTACAAAAATGCAAACTTTACGTGAATTTACGCGGAAAACAAAACGCGGTAATATATTAAAAATTGTACGAGAGCATTATCTGCGTGATGACATTGGTTGCGGCTCAGATCTTTGTCAGTATTGCTTTCAAAACGAGGTCTACCAATTGACTTCGGAGCACGACATCAAGAGCAGCATTTTCAAATTTCCACACTACATTGTTTTGGATACCAACGTGGTTCTGGATCAAATCGATGTGCTCGAGGAGGATGTGCTCCATAATGTAATCGTGCTCACCACGGTACTGAACGAAGTGAAACACAAGAGCTCATCCATCTATAAGCGTCTCAATGAGATTATTCACGATCGCACGCGCAATTTTTATGTGTTTGTCAATGAGCATCATAAGTAAGCATCATTAGGTACTTAACCAAAATGATTCCAATTTACACTTTCCAGGGACACCTATGCCGATCGCGAGCCAGATGAGAGCGCCAATGATCGCAATGACCGAGCCATACGCATGGCTGCCAAATGGTACGATACCCATCTGCATACCTCTCAGGCATCCAAGACCTTTCAGCGTAGCGGGCGCACAATCACGCGTGTAGTGCTGCTCACCGACGATGCTGGTAATCGCGCCAAGGCCGAGGCCGAGGATATTTTGGTAGCTAGTGCGGCAGACTATGTTAAGTCGCTTGAAGACTTTCCACTGCTGGTCGACAAGTTGTCCCAAAAAACATTTGAAAATGAGAAACAAGCGCTGCCCCAATATCCACCGCATTTGAGCATGAAGGAGCTGCTTGAAGGTTTGCGACACAAAAAGTTACTGCAAGGCTCGTTTCAGGCATCTAGGGAGAACTATCTCGAGGGCAATGTCAATGTGGAGAGCTATGAAAAAGGCGTAAGTCTTGCGTTCTGAATCCTACTGATGAATCGTATTGATGAAGAAATCGTCTATCATTTCTAAGCTTACAATCAATAACATTACAGTCAAAAAACTGTAATTCCTGGACTAAACAATTACTCTACTATAATTCACAGATTTTAATACAAGGCCGCGAGTCGCTCAATCGCGCCGTAGAAGGGGATATTGTAGCCGTTGAACTGTTGCCTGAATCCGAATGGTCAGCGCCCAGTGAGATTGTGTTGGAGGAGAAAAATGTGTATGCCGATGATGTGCCCAGCGAGGAGCGTGTTGAAGAGGAGAAGGAAATGCTGCAACAAGTGCAGACCGCACCAGCTGCAGAGCGAACACCCACCGGTCGCATTGTGGGTATTGTCCGTCGCAAGTGGCGTCAGTATTGTGGCATTTTACAGCCCAGTCTGATTGAGGACACTACACGCCATATTTTTGTACCCGCCGATCGCAAGATTCCGCGCATACGCATTGAAACGCGACAGGCAGCCAAGCTGCAAAACCAACGCATAATTGTGACCATTGACAGCTGGCCGAGGAACTCACGCTATCCGCATGGACATTTCGTGCGATCGCTAGGCCCCCTGGGAAACATGGCAACGGAGAATGAGGTGATATTGTTAGAACACGACGTGCCGCACTGCAAGTTCTCCGAAGAAGTGCTTAGTTTTTTACCCAAAATGCCGTGGACCATTACAGACGAGGATTATGCCAAGCGGGTGGACTTACGCGATTTATATATTTGCTCTGTAGATCCACCCGGTTGCACGGACATTGACGATGCACTTCATTGCCGCGAGCTGCCGAACGGAAATTTAGAAGTGGGCGTTCACATTGCCGACGTTAGTCATTTCATAAGGCCGGGCAATGCATTGGACAAAGAAGCTGCCGCGCGAGGCACAACTGTTTATTTGGTTGGTAAGCGCATTGACATGGTGCCGGAGCTTCTAAGCTCTAATCTTTGTTCGCTGGTTGGTGGCGTGGAACGGTTTGCCTTCTCCTGTGTTTGGGAAGTGGATAATGAGGCAAATGTTTTGACTAAACGCTTTCACAAGAGCGTCATTAAATCTAAGCGGGCTATGACCTATGAGGAGGCCCAGGCTCTTATTGATGACTCCACAGAGACTGGCGAAATCGCCAAATCGCTGCGTCATCTTAATCGTCTCGCCAAGATACTCAAGAAGCGGCGTATGGACAATGGGTAAGTATAACGTGACCGCATCTTAGAACTCATGTAATAATGCTTCATTTAAGAGCATTGGTGCTGGCCTCACCGGAGATACGCTTTCAAGTGGATAGTGAAACGCATGAGCCGCTTGAGGTGGAGGCCAAGCAGATGCGAGATACCAACTCAATGGTGGAGGAGTTCATGTTGCTGGCCAATATAACCGTGGCACAGCACATTGCGGCGGAATTCACAGAGTGCGCTGTACTGCGCCGTCACCCGAAGCCACCTCCGACCAACTTTGATCCGTTGGTAAAGGCTGCACGATATCAGGGCTTTGAGGTGGCCATAGACACTGGTTTGGAGCTAGCGCATTCACTGGATAAATGCGTTAAAGCCGATAATCCTTACTTCAATACAATGATACGTATCCTTACCACGCGCTGCATGATGCAGGCGGTGTACTTTATCAGCGGTAGCCTGCAAAAAGAAGAGTTTTTCCATTATGGCCTGGCTGCTGATATTTACACACACTTCACCTCGCCCATTCGCCGGTATTCGGATATTATGGTACATCGCCTGCTGGCAGCGTCCATTGGGGCCGACAGCACCTATGCCCAGCTGTTGGAGCGCAAATCCAATGAGGAGCTGTGCAACAATTTAAATTATCGCCATAAAATGGCGCAATATGCAGGTCGCGCATCCGTTGCGCTTAACACACATCTATTCTTCCGCGGCAAAGAGGAGGAAGAGGAGGGGTATATTTACAATTAAAATTGCGATTTATCTTATTTGCTAATCCGTTTTTTTGTTTCAGCTATGTTTTGTTTGTGCGCAAAAATGCCTTGCAGGTGCTCATACCCAAGTACGGACTGGAGGGAACATTGTATTTGAAAGGCGACAAGGATGGCAAAGACGGTCTGGAGCGCACCAAGAGCGAAGTTATATTCACATTCAATGAGGAGGACCATACGCAAAGATGTGGCAATGTAATTTTCCATTCCTTTGATCCTGTTACGGTAAGGTTGAGTCTGGACTCGAGCAACGTGCAGCATGAAAAGTTGATATTCAAACTGGTGAAGCCATACATCAAGGGTTTTAGTGTGGAAACAACACCGGAAGCGGGTACAGCAGCAACTGCACAGCCCCCGACCAAAAAATCCAAGAAGGACAAAAAAAAGAAATAGACGAACGAATATTTTTTTTTATAAATATCTTTTATTAAATTAAACCCTAGTTTAATGCGAAAAAAGTAAAGAATATTCAATTACCTTCATATATGATAATATTTTAATTTTATTTGCGGACTTCAATGTAACTGAAAATATTAGAGCATGTCGGAAGACATGGAGCAACGTCATCATCCAAGGTATATTAACCTTATGTAAAAGCTTCAGTTGTTAAAGAATTGCAGAGAAACGATTGCAGAACGAGATTCTCAAATCGGTTGGACGTCATCGACTCAAGCTTTAGAACGAAACCGTGCTGATCAGTTTAAAGTTAAATTTCGAAATGCTCTTTTATGGATATAAAAGATGAAATCAAATTGATTTTTCAAAGTTCACAAAGAAACATATGTAGTATAGTTGATTTTAACTTTGGTCTTTTTCAATTCTTCACTATTAGTTTTTTATTGAATTTTACTTAATGCAAATTCCATACATTATTTAAATGCGTTCATAGTTTAATTCGAGTGTTAGTTTGGCTTTATATGTAAAACTCGAATGTTTTTCTATTTGCTCATAATTAAAACATTGTTGTCATGGGTTTTTAATTGTGGTGAGAGTATTACTTAAGTCGAAAACACTTTAAAATGCTCGTGTAGTGAGAGTGTTTCGTTAAACCTTTGATCCAATGTTTTTGAGTTCTGGATTTCACTTGCTGTGCGCGCAATTCAATATCATTGCAACGTTTCGACTTTAAGGCGACGGTCGTGTCTAAGCTGGAGCTGTAATTTCCTATATAGCCTATAGAGGATCTACATATACATGTACATTAATATATACCCAATAAACTCATTGTTCAATTGACGCATTTGTGAAAAAAAGTACGAACCAATGGAGCTGGTTACCGATGCAGTGAATAAAACCAATATTGAAGGCAGTAAGTTTCAAGAACTAACCTTCATTGTACTAAAATATGCAAATAGCCAAAATGAAAAAAAAGAAAAGAAATAACTATCTATGTTCTTACCAGCTATCTGACTGTGAATACATATGCATATATTTATACTATTTAAATAATAAAAATAAATATAAGTTTTTTCAATCGAATCTTCGTTGACGCGAACGCTTATATAAACCATCAAAATTGTTAAGTTCAGTTTGGTATGGTGAAACTGGCAGAACTCTTATTATTATCGTATGTCAATGGCGCTCCGATTATGCTGTTCTGTCTGGCACAACAGATATATACCACACATAGGCAATGTGCGACAAGTGACCGCGACGTAGTCTTTCGAAAATATATACAATTTAATTATCCAATATCGTATATTGTGAAAGTGTAAATTAGTTTTGCTTTGGCCGATTTAAGTATTATCGAGTGCCCAAATTTATTCAGCATTTAACGAGCCACCCAACTGTACATCCCATAAGACAGTGCATTGAACTCGAAAACTACTGATCGACTTAATGCTCTTCATATCAAGGTGTTGCTTCATCTATATATGGAATGCCAGTTGATGCGCACAGTCCATTCTACTTGGAGCTGTACCGCAAGTCTGTGCAAAATCCAGTCGCTTTTTGGGAGGAGCTGGGATATTTGCTGGACTGGGACAGGCCGTGGCAGCAGGTGCTGGATAATAGTAATCAACCATTTACCAAATGGTATGTGGGCGGCTATTTGAATGCCTGCTACAATGCCATAGATAGGCACATACTGGCCGGCAGGGGTGAAAAGGTGGCGCTCATCCATGACAGTCCGCTGACGGAAACGGTGCGCAAGGTCTCTTACCAGGAGCTATACGATCAAGTTGTACTGCTCGCAGGTGGACTGGCCAGAATGGGCGTGACAAAGGGTGATCGAGTGGTGATCTATATGCCGCTAATACCCGAGACCATCGTAGCCATGCTGGCTATTGTTCGTCTGGGCGCCATACATTCCGTGGTATTTGGTGGATTTGCTGCACGGGAGCTTTGCTCGCGCATTGAACACGTTGAGCCGAAATTGGTGATCGCCGCTAATGCGGGCGTGGAGCCAGGTAAGGTGGTGCCATATCTGGACATACTGCACTCGGCCATAAATATGTCACGCTGGAAGCCACCGCAACGCAACATAATTTTTATGCGCGAACAGGTAGCTTTAGATATTCTGGATGATAAAGCCGATATACTCTGGTCAACGGTGTTGGGCATGGGCGAAGCTAGTCAACCGGTGGCCTGTGTGCCCATCGAAGCCAATGATCCGCTTTATATACTTTACACGTCCGGCACCACGGACAAGCCGAAGGGTGTGCTGCGCACAATTGGTGGCCACCTGGTGGCACTGATGTACACACTGAAAATGATTTATGGCATTCAGCCTGGCGATACATGGTGGGCTGCCTCTGACATGGGCTGGGTTGTGGGACACTCTTATATATGCTACGGTCCTCTTTGTCTGGGCGCCACGAGCGTCATGTATGAAGGCAAGCCAGATCGCACACCGGATCCGGGACAGTACTTTAGGTAAGTATTACAAGCAAGCCTTCCTTTGGTCCTCGGTAGTTTTTAGGGGAAATTGCTGTTACTTACTTTTGCTTTTAGAATTATTGACCAGCACAAGGTTTGCGGCATCTTCTCAGTGCCAACCTCTTTTCGTGTGATACGTCGTGCCGATCCGGAGATTAGCTATGGGCGGCAATACTGCATGAAATCCCTGCGTGCCATTTTCATAGCTGGCGAGCACTGCGACTACGAGACAAAGGCCTGGATAGAGAAGACATTCAAGGTGCCGGTGCTGAATCATTGGTGGCAGACGGAAACGGGTTCAGCTGTAACTGCTACATGTTTGGGCTTCAAACATAATCTCAATCCACCCATGTACTCTACCGGCCTGCCCCTTGTGGGCTACGAAAGTAAATATTAACTTGATAGTTCGATAATTCGAAAGCCAGTTAACCACTTTTATAACCATGCCTCTTAACAGTTAAGGTACTAAAGAAGGATGGCACTGAGGCTCTTCCTTCTGAACTAGGTCGCATTGTTTTAAAGCTGCCGCTGCCTCCTGGCAACATGGCCACTCTTTATAGAAACGATGAGCTCTATCGCAAGCTGTACTTCCAAAAGTTTCCGGTAGGGCATGCTACTTGATTATAAAGATTTTATAATTTCTTGTATGTTACTTGCAGGGCTACTACGACACCATGGACGCCGGCTACAAAGATGAGCGTGGCTACATTTTTGTCACGGCACGCGATGACGATGTCATTAATGTGGCCGGCCATCGTCTGTCCACCTCCAGTCTTGAGGATGCTGTGCTTCGGCATCCCGACGTTGTTGATGTGGCCGTGTTTGGTGTGCCGGAGTCAACTAAGGGACAAGTACCGCTCTGTCTCTACATTCCCGTCGATGGCTGCAAGAAAACAGATGCCAAATTGTCCACGGAGATAATCAAACTCATACGCGATGTGGTGGGTCCTATTGCAGCCTTTCGCCTTATCACCTCGGTCAACAGCTTGCCGCGCACGCGCTCCGGTAAAACCATGCGCAAGGCCATGGCTGACTTTGCCCGCAATGAGAGGGTCATCTTGCCGGCGACCATCGACGATGCCAGCGTATTCAGCGAGATACGGCGCGCCCTGCAGCATCTGGGCTATGCGATGTCTGCGCCCGATCCAATCGTGGCCAAACTGCTGGACTGATCTGGCCACAGCCGACTCATCCGCTGGTGTTTTTGTGCAATATATGTAGTTAGTTTAAATGTTCTACGAATCAAATAAAGTATCTTTTTAAAAATTATCTACGCATTATTTAGAAATTGCAAAAATAGTTGTAAACATGGGGAACTGGTAAAAAGTAGAGTCGTTCAAAGAACACGAATGATGAAAATAAATGTCAAGACTATTTGAAATTTAGTTGAAAATACATCTTTAAATTCTACACGCACACACTCAAATCCATATGTGTAATTGCGAAAATAATTTAAATGTTAATGCCCAGTGGTAGCGAACTGTGCCCTCCAACCGTTCGAACTATTCGTATAATATGCGCGCAACTAAAACTCAATCAGTTTATTCAAATTTTGTGCAAATTTTGTGCGACATTGTTTGCTATCATTGCCCATGAATAGTGGAGGGTGACAGCGCGTGTATCGCACCCAATCCCATTCTCACTTCCATTACCATTCCATTCCATGCCTATGCTGCATTATGTCCACATATGGCGACCACTATACTGTTTGGCCTGATTTCTGCACTCAACATCAAAGACCGCAAATGTGTTAAGTGTAACCCAATTAGTGGGCTGCGAATGTGAATACACTGTGAATACACTCTTGCGAATGTGAATACACTGCAGAACTTCACAGTGGAGTACATTTACATGGATAAGACTTCGAAATTTTTGTAAAAGTGTGCTCTTGGATTTGTTATCAGTCGGTTTTAGTAGAAATCGTCGAGGAACATTTTTACCGACCTTTGGTAGATATGCGCGGATCGTGAAGTTCGCAATTGCTCAGTTTGGTCAACACATGTTAAAAAGCAAAAACTCATTTTTTCGATTAACTCTTCCAATCGAGCTATGTATATGCAACTGCACTGCGATGGTATTCAGGCTTTACTTATGTGTAAGAAGTGTAGTATCTTAAAAATCGCAAAAACAGCAGAGACGTGTAAATTGTATATTTATCTAATGATTTTCTTTTAAGGATTGAGCCTTAAATATTCTCGCCACAAACACTCCTGCCTTAAAATATCAATAATTCCTAAATTCATACAATACTCAAAGGGAACTTCTAATGAGATTATTATTTATCATTAACCAACATCAGTAAAACTCTTTTCCACGTGTTGTTTAGTTGTCACATTGCGTACAGAGTTTTTATTTCTTTTGTTCAATTCGGTTTCTTGCAATACTAAACCTCGGAAGGACCTTTTTGAATAAGGCCACAAGGCCCAAATGTTACTGAACAGTCCGATGAACAAAAAAAAAATGTATCATAACAATTTTAACCGAAATTTTAGTCAACTGGCTCTTCAAAAATTTACTGGAATATAATGCTAAAAAAGCTTGCAAAAAGTATGTGAACTCACCTGTGCTTAGAAATAATTAAATAATTAATAAGCAGAATTGCTGAAG